GTTGCTTAGTAGCTTACTGCTCAAGATTATGAGAGAGATAATAACGTGATAAAACATACTAATTGATGCTTCCATTTGAAACATGAATACCTTTTTCATTAATTTTTTTGTACTAATCTCTTGATATTCAAGAGTTATATTGAATTTTAATTAATCTAAAATCAAGTCACGTCAAATCCCATGAGAAAATTCTTTCAGTGCTAATTTTTTCATTTATAAAATTTAAATTTAAGATTTTATTTTAAAAAAACTAAACTTTTTCTACTCAGATTAACAAGTTATTAGTACTCTTTTCGTTACTTTGTTCAATCTGACAACTCCATTCGTGTCGATAAGATGATGACAAATTTAGATGTAGCAATAAAATGTACAGTGAAATCTGCAATGGAGCAGTTGCAGAGAATATGTGTGATTAATGTAAATATTTCCCTTGTAAAGATACATTTTAGATTTCCATGGTTTATATAATTTTTTTATACAGTTTTGAAGCCTTGGATATACTGAAAATTGAAAATAATTATTTTATTTTCTTTCCTTCTTTTAAAAATGTCGATGTGAATTGTGGTTAGCCAAAGCATTAACTGCATTTTGCAACTTCTTCGGACACACAGCATTTGCCTCTTCAATGCTCACTTCTTACTTCCTCCATTCTCTGACTTTCTTCTCTTTATACTCTCCTTCACTGCTTTTCTTTCCATAGTTCTATTCAAAACTACAGCCTGCTTCCTTTTTCTCTTGTCCTTTTTTTCTTCTTTCTCTCAAAGCCATGAACCCACCAGAGGATTTCGTGGAACAGGGAATTTCTCGTGAGGTACATCATTATTACTTGCACTGTGAATCTAAAGTTACCATTTTTACATGTTAGTTTCTTGCCCATCTAGGTCTCTCCTGAGTGTGTAGTGAAATTTGTAGATTTGGGTAGTGAGTGAAAGTGATGAAATGATTTTGGTTTAATACCCAATTTGGTCCTTAAACTTTTATTTCAGAACTTAGTTCGTCCTTTAACTTAAGAAAGCACCCAAGTTGTCCTTTAACTTTATTTTTCTGTAACCCAAATGGTCCTTCCGTTGACAGACTGCATACCTGGCACGTTAAGTATCTAACAATTACCACTTTTAATTTTTACAAGCCAACGTGGAAAAAAAACTCAGCCAATTGATTACATGTCACCATTTTCATTCTTGCATTTACCCCTCTCTCTCTCTCTCTAACATGCAGAGACAATTTCTTGGCTCTCCAGTCTCCAAGCTCCACAGCCATGGAGGAGACGATACTATTGTAGCGGAAGATCCGAGATGCAGAGTTGCGGAAGACGACAATGACAACGGCGAGCGCAAGGCAGCCAAGCCTCGCCGGTTGTCGTTCTCGCAGTCGTCTTCTCTGCCGTCGCCGTCGGCTTCCAGGCCTGAGAAGTTTATTCACCTCATTCCAGTATTTCTTCCCTTTTTCTGTTTTTTTATTTTATTTTATTTTCTCTTCTCCTTTTCAGTTTTGTAATTGGCGTTGTATTGTTTTTCTATTCTTAAGTGCCATTTTTCCAATTAATTGAAGCTATATTGCATTTGTGTATGTGATCATCATTACATCTATAGGTTCCCTAATTGAGCAACTTAGGTGTTGAATTATCAACTGGGTATACCTACCTCTGGTAAATTTAGATGCAGCATGATGTATTGGTGTTTGTTTATAGAGGCCAATCTTATTCCTTGTGGCATAATAATTTTTCAGAAGTCAATTACTTTGAACAAAGGCATTTTCCACACTTTTTGGGTTAAGTATAGGATACTCTTTTTCTTGATCAGAAAGAGCACTGCTTGGTACTTCATGATTCCTTCTGTATATTCTATTCTTATGTTTATTGTAATAATGTTCTCTCTCTGCTTCAATCTTATAGATATTTTAATATTTGATTTTCTTAGAATGAAATTCAGTTTAAATGGGACCCCATGATATTTTTCCCTTATGAAAATGCTTAAAATTAAGAAATGGTTCAGTGAATGGTTGAATAGTAAAATGGGAGTGATATTCTTATTTTATATTTCTTGTCTGTATTTATGTTTTTTCTCTGTTTGTCTGTAAATTGGAATAACTAATATACCCAGCATAAAGGAATGATAATACTGGAATGATAATTGATTTTGGGGAGGATATGCACTGCCAGTTTCTTGAAATCCTTCGCATCTTACTGCATCCACACACATTGTCAGGAGCTCAGGTTCCTATCTTGATTTTTTCATTTCCATAGGTTTTGTTATATGTAAAGTTAAGGATTTTATCCAGTAAATGAAAATTCTCTTTGAA